CGCGCCCATGACATTGAAATCCGCGCCTCAGACCGCGCCGCTCGGTACCGCTGGGCTCGTTCCGGAGCCGAGCCCCGGGAACGGTGAGGGCGAGGCTGCAGGTGGAAGAACCCGTTCGCCTCGGGCTTTCTAGTGTGACTTCCCTTCACCCGGAAGGAACTGGGGACAGTGACCGTGTCCCCCGGGCTCCGAAGTCACTAACGCGGCCGTGTTCGCTTTCTTTCAGTCCTGGTATGAGCCGCTAACGTCATGGTGAAATGCTGCTCGGCGATCGGGTGTGCCTCTCGCTGTCTGCCCAACTCCAAGCTCAAAGGCCTGACTTTTCACGTGTGAGGCTCTTCTCTGTCGTTAAGCCGAGGATTTCCAAAAGCCAGAGGCAGTTTTACTTCACTCTTAAGTTTGGGACTTCAGTTCCCCAGTTCTTTTATAAATAACCTTTCCGCTTAAAATGTGAAGTGACGGTGATAGCTTTACGCTTTTAATTGGGTTCAGAAGGTAAAGAATACCTGCCTGCCGGGGTGCCGGGCCAGAGCCGCGTTGGCCAGCGCTCCTTGGCATTTCAGCACAGCTTCCGGGAAAGTTGGCGCTGTGTACCCGCAGCTGACAACCCGCAGGGAGGACCTTTGCCCAAATGTTTTCTGTCCTTGGATGCAGAAAAACCTTCAGTTGTGGATCTTACCATAAAGTATTAAATGTCCTTTGAAATTTCTTTATGAGAAAAATTTAAATGAGGGCCATATGTCTACAGCATATGATTAGTGGGAAAACCTGACTGTTAAAACTGAAAGTTAGAAAAACATGAATCTTGATCGTTTCTGCTGTACTATTTCCCAAGAGTAATAGCAGACTGGTTAAGAAGTTAATTTAGTCACATCCTTAATTCAAGTATAATATCAATAAGTGTTTAATTTTAAAATACTTTTTGTATTTTTTCCAGATTCCCCACAGATGAAAATGTAAAAAGAAAATGGGTATTAGCGATGAAAAGACTTGATGTGAATGCTGCAGGGTATTGGGAGCCTAAAAAGGGAGATGTGTTGTGTTCAAGGCACTTTAAGAAGACAGATTTTGACAGAAGTGCTCCAAATATTAAACTGAAACCTGGAGTCGTACCTTCTATCTTTGATTTCTCAACTCTCTTACAGGTGTGTTGATGGGGTGCTGCTTACCACCGTTACTCACTCTTTATGGTGCTATTGAAGAAGCTTCACCACACTTGCTTTAAAACCTTTTAAGTTTTTAAAGATGTAAACTGCTGCTTCAGATTGTGAACTATGTAGTCGGAGTATTTTACCAGTAGCCACTCAGAAATATTTATAAAGGTTAGGTGAAATGAACTGCCCCTAGGAGTTAGCATAACTCAAGATTTGTGTCTGAAAAATAGAGGAACATAAGAATGGTTTAAGTAAAGGTCCAAGTTGGCAGTCCTGCTCACCTCGGTTTAGAGCCACATACATGCAAACTTGAAGCCTAGGTAAGACTGGAAGGGGAAAAAAAAAAGAGGAACAGGAGAAGGTAAGGAGAGAAGAGGCCTAAAAAGGAAATTGAAAGGATTGGGTAAGTAAATTCTAGTTGAATTCTGTTTTTTCTCAGTGATATTAGTGCTGTGGGTTGGCTGCCTCACCCTCAATACCTTTCTTGACTTCCTGTACCTGGAAGTGTATTTGCTTCCATAAACTTTAGACGAGGGGTGGGCAAACTTTTTGACTCGAGGGCCACAATGGGTTCTTAAACTGGACTCAGAAGGAGCTGCAGCCGTGTTTCCCGACGTTGCCATGTTAACACTGCTGCTGGTGAAGGAGCGGAGGGGAGAGCAAGAGAACCCTCCCTCTTTTGGCTCCGCCAGCCGGATAGAACAGCCGAACGGGCCGGATCCGGCCTGCGGACCGTAGTTTGCCCACGGCTGCTTTAGACTGACTGATCCAACTGGAAAGTTCAGAGAGAGCCTGTGGGTTCCACCATAGTCATGAGTCTCCATTGAAAGGTATCTCCCTCCTGACAGCTGAAAACAAGGGAAGGAGCCCAGCAGTGTGACTGCACCCACGTGATTTTGGTCACTTTCTGCAGTTGTTTTTATTGTGGTACCTGAGTTATCAAGTAGAGATGCCTCACTTTCTTCCTTATTAGTAAACGTGCAATATCTTGTACAATTTTCTCTGAAGGGTGCTTATCCCATAGTAAGGCGTCATCTATCTGCAATGTTAAGAGGACCTTAAGAAATATTGGCATAATAAACCAAATAAAACATGTTACTTTAAAAAACTATTTCCTAATAAAGAAAATTTTATTATAGGAAATTAGATAATAAAGGGAAGAGAAAATAAAAATTAATAATAACTACATAATCCAGAGATAATACACTCTGATGTGTATCTTCCCAGTCATTTGTATATGTATATTTATATAAAAATTCATCTCTACCTATATAGTCTTATAAAAATAGAATTTTACTGGCCCTACCGGTGTGGCTTAGTGGTTGAGCATCGACCTATGAACCAAGAGGTCATGGTTCAATTCCTGGTCAGGACACATGCCTGGGTTGTAGGCTCAATCCCCAGTGTGGGATGTGCAGGAGGCAGCTGATCAATAATTCTCTCTCATCATTGATGTTTCTATCTCTCCCTCTCACTTCCTCTCCGAAATCAATAACAATATATTTTTAAAAAATAGAATTATACTGTATGTATATCCTCTCTTTTATTGTCTTACCTTTCTTTTTTATTTTTTTAGTTGATTTGAGAGGAGAAAGACATTCATTGGAGAGAGAAATATCAATCAGTTGCCTCCTGCCCCAACCAGAGATCAAACCCACAACCCAAGTATGTGCCCTGACTGAGGATCGAAGCCTTCCCTCTACCTTTCAGTGTGCAGGATAGCACTCCAGCCAGGGCATGCAAGAGGCAGCCTATTGATGTTTCTCTCTCTCTCTCTCTCTTTCTCTCTCAATCTCTCTCTCTTTTCTCTCTTTCTCTCCCTCTCTCTCCACTATAATATGCCATTGTATAGACTAATTTTTCCATTCAACTACGAAATTTTTGTTCATGACTTTTGATGCACTTATGTCCACATTTCTGAAGACTATATGCACACTTCTCTGTTAGAAGTGGAATTACTGGGTCCTATTATGTGTCTGTTCAGCTTAAGTAGATATGCCATAATTTTCCAAAGTGCTTTGCCAATATATAGTCCCACCATCAGCATATTAAAGTTCCTAAGGATCTATATCCTTGCTAGTACTTGTTGGTGTGAGCTTTATATTAGTAGAACATTTGTAATGACCATATAACCGTTGATTCTATGTATGAACAATAATTTATATAATTAGTTCTCACTATTATAAACTAGAGGCCCAGTGCACAAAAATTTGTGCACTCGGGGGTGTCCCTCAGCCCGGCCTGTGCCCTCTCGCAGTCTGGGACCCCTCGGGGGATGTCCACTTGCCAGCAGGGAGCAGGCCTAAACTCAGTCGGACATCCTTAGCACTTGAGGAGGCGAGAGAGGCTCCCACCACCACCGCTGTACTGGCAGCCGTCAGCTTGGCTTGTGGCTGAGCAGAGCTCCCCCTGTGGGAGCACACTGACCACCAGGGGAGAGCTCCTGCATTGAGCGTCTGCCCCCTGATGGTCAGTGTGTGTCATAGTGACCAGTCATTCCCAGTCTTTCTGTTGTTAGGGTCAGTTTGCATATTATTCTTTTATTATATAGGATAGAGTTCTGGTGCATGGGTTGGGGCTG